AACCCTGCCCCTCCCTCTGACCCCCCCAATCTCTCTGGTCTTTCACAGGCGACCAGGCAGCTACAGCAGGGCCAGCGCTACAACAGCATCAGGTACCCTGCATGCCAGGGCCAGCCGGGGGGTTCAAGCAGCCAGCCCTGGGGCTGGGGAAGGTGCCAGCTCTGCCTGGCCCGACCCTGGGCTGCAGGGGACCATCTCCACCACCCATCCTGACCTGGTGGCAGAGGCATCACTGCTGCTTCTCGTCCCCCAGGGAATATGAGCATGACGCTGTGAGGAAGAGGTTCACGCGTGCCAGGGATGACTCAGACCAGGATGAAGGCTACGAGTGGGGCCCAGCTACAGATGTGTAGTGGCACCACTGGCCTGTCCCACTGGGCACCTTGGGCCAGCACTGCCGCTGCCCCATGCCACCTGGTGGGGCCTAATCCTGCTGTACCTCTCAACACCCAGCACCACCAAGTGCCTCCTTCTGCCTTTTGGCCACAGCCTCTGCTGCTGGAATAAAAGGGATGGTTTGATCAGGACGGGCTCTTTTCATGTGTACTGGGTGGCAGTATGCAGGGGAAACCCAGGCAGCAGGATGGCCTTGCTGGGACCCAGGCATCTCCATGGCCATGCACCCTGCCTGCCTGAGGCATGGCTGCAGGAACCAGGCTTGGGTTGTGCCAACGTCTGGCATCGCAGTGGGCTCAGGGCGCACACAGCAGAGCTGAGCCTCCTCTGCTGCAGCCCAGCCAGGGCTATTGGAACGCACCCTCCCACGTTCCCCAAAACTTTTATTTTTACATCAACCAAGCACACAGGCAATGTCAGGTCAGTGCTGTCTTGGCTGCAGAGGTCCAGAGACCCATAAAAGACACATCACCAGGGGCTGGTCCTTGGGGCTCATTACCCCAAGATCCCTGGGATGTGGGACTAGGCATAGGCAGTGTTGTGTTCCCTTTTGCTGTGCCAAGGGACAGTCCCGATGAAGACCCAGTGCTGGGGCCAGGCTGTGCGTGCAGAGCAGTTAAAGGCAGCACCAGCGAAAAGCAGAGGTGGTTTCCCAGCTTGGTGCAACATGTCTAATGGGGAGTTTGTTTGCACTCCCAACAGGCCCCGGCAAAGCCAGGGAGGAGGAGTGGGTGCCAAGGGTGCTGCTGCGCTGAGGGCTGAGTCTGGGAGCTGCCAGCTCTCTGTGGCGGGGGAGGGGGGGTGCCAGAATGTGCCCACACACTGGAGTGCAGGGTCAGTGTGGCTCTGGGGCTGTGCTCAGGCAACCCCTGGAGCTGTGCTTCCAGCACCATCCCCAATGGGGAAAGGCACCATTGGTGATGTAAAAGCACTATTTGTGGTGAGTAGATGGGTGACCTTTCATGTAGGGTCCCCTCTCCTGCCAGCACCAGG